GTGGTCAGAGAGCAGATTTTGTATTTGAAGTCCGTTCTCAATTATTTATTTCCTTCCAATTGTTGTGGGTGCACAGAAATAGGAATGTTTATTAAGCTCAGAAGGAAAATAACAACAATAACAACACCACCAACTTGGATTTAAATAGCGCCCTCCACGCTGGACGGCGTCTCAGAGAGCTTCACACTAACGGATCCCGGGGCCGAGCCACGGAGAGGGGAAGGAAGGTAACCAAAGGCGCGGTCGAAAAGAAAGGTCTTCAGCCGAGACCTGAAAATAGGAAGAAAAGGGGCGAGACAAAGGGACTAAGGAAGGGAGTTCCAAATGTACTATTTGTGACAAAGATTTAGTGCTAAAATATAGATTGAGCTTTACAAACTATCAACAAGTAATTTACATTCATAGATGTCACAAATGTTAAGCATAGAAATATGAGAATGGTGTATCAAGTTATAGAGTAAATGATCACTAATTCGTATCATAGCCATTCTGTCCCCTCTCCCAAGTTCCTTCTAAGCAGGGAAGAATAAAATAGATCTCAATCCATGTGCACTTTGCTTATGATGATCACTTAAAATGACAATCTTTTCACTAAATCATTGTAATGTGATATCCATTAGAATGAATTTGGAAGAATCACTATTTTCAGCCTTCAGTGTAGAAACACTCACTAAACGCACACTAACTAATCCAAACAAGTGTAAACTATTCTTACTTGCATTTCTGCAGATCTGGGAGAATGAGTTCAAAAGAGTTGAAGGGTCTTCTTTACCCATACCTCTCTTGATCTTTTGGTTAAACTGTTGGGATGGAGTGGAAGACTTGAAGGGGTGTTTTACCATGATAAATTTACCAATCTTGGCAGCAAATCCATATTATTCTCCACATGTCTATATATGAAAGCACAACTAGTCACCTTCTCTCCCTGCGTTCAGAACCCTCCTAAAAACCTAACTATTTGATCTAGAGTTTTGTCAACTTCCTCAAACACATTCTTCTTCCAACCCTACTTGGTGATCCATATTGTCTTTGTAAAATACTTTGAAACTTTATCCTATGTGAAAGATGCTGTGTAAGTCTTCACGTCACTCCCTCCACACAGCCGATTCTGGCCTGCTTCATATTGTCACCCACTCTATCCCACAGTTGACAGGCGCTTTCTATCATCATTTGGAACTTTCTTCTGAAATCCCTCTGCCTTGTCCCCTCCCTCTCTGTTATCAAACCTCACCTGAAAACTTACCTCTTTGACAGCTCCCTCAGGCTCCTCCTCCCCCAAACCCACTCCCAGCTTTCTTCCCCAGGTGTTCATCTGTATAATATTTGGCATATATATATATATATATATATAATAAGCCAAATAGCTTGTAGAATCATGAGACTGGACATTGTCCTTGTGACCTCCAGAGTTTCTTGTCCAGAAGGACCCAATGGGGAGACATGACCAGATTGGAGCAATGTGTCCCAGTGCACACAGCCTCTCTGGCACTCATTCAGCATAGAAGGGTGGGTTTGTAAGGTACAACATTCTCAGGAACATTTTTAGTGATCATCTTACAGTGTGTTTTCAGTTATCACCTTACAATATGTCAGCCTTGTGCAGTGGTAGCACTCTTGTCTTGAGTCAGAAATTGTGGGTTCAATCACATAGTCTAAGCTGACACTCCAATACAGTGCCATGGTGTGTTGAATTGCCGGATGAATTCAGTCACTTCTTGGCTGTTTGTGGGACATTGCTATGTGCAACTGGCTGCCACATTTTGTCCACAAAATAGACAATCAATCCACTTTACAGTATATCCTATGAAGTGCTTTGAGAAGTGTCGACAAGTGATCAGGCACTAAATCAAATGCAACAACAACAGCAATAAAATTACATTTGTATATCACCTTTCACTTCAGGAGGACATCTCAAGGTGCTGGAAAGTCAGTGTTTCGGATCCGGGTTGGGATTGGGGAGGGTGAAGGGCAGGGCAAGGAGGGTGATTGAAAGCATGGTCGGAGAAGGGCCTTATGACAGGTCTTCAAGGAGACAAAGGAAGGGGTGAGGCGGAGGGACTGGGGATGGAGTTCCAGAGGGTGGGGGCAGAGAGGCTGAAGGCTCGTCCGCCAATGGTGGGGGGGGAGGCGGGGATCACGAAGCAGGCTGGAGCCCGCTGAGCAGAGGGAGTGGGCAGATTGGTAGGGGGTTAGGACTACTACTACATTCTGCCTCACGCAGAGGTTGTTGGAACTAGCCTCCAACCTAAAGGCAAGAACATTTCTTTAATATTACTTTGAAATGAACAATAGACATTTTATTCTTGCAGTTATGAAAGGGTTAAGTTTGATTGATTCAGGATATTGTCCCTCTTTAACTGTTGAGCTAGGTCAGGAATCATAGAATAAGGGTTTTAAGGAGGACAAATGTGATGATGGGACATACTGGAATTTTAGATTTACAGCTGAGAGACTTGAGTTCAATTTCCCAAATTCTCTCAGGCTGCAGTGAGGAATGGAAACAGAATTCTCAGACTTTGGAAAAACTGACTAGATTTTGGTTTATTTCCAAGACCTCTTTAAATGCCCATTGTGGCAACAGCTATTATGGTAACTGTACAGATGCCCACAAATTGATCAGACCTACCCTCATTACAGACAAGTGTTCAGAGGAAGTGGGTAAATGGGGAAAGGCAGCAAATTGGGAGCTTTTAAAAATGGGGGGGGAAAAGTGTTATATTTCAGATGGGGATTGGATGGGGTAAATAAAGTAACAGCATTGAGTCATTCAGGCTGTTACCACAGCAACAGCATCTCCCGCTACCCATAGTTGTTCAAAGCCCTTAGCATCAAAAGCAGTGCTAACTCTCTTTACGATATTGTGACTACATCAGCCACTGCCTGCAGTGCTTTGAATTTCCAGCCATAAGCATTATTAATTTCATGCAAAATACCTCCAGGGCAGCACTGACCTACATTTCAGAGTTCTTTGAGATCTCATACCCCATTTACGCAGTGAAAAGAAGTTCAGTTTCATCCCGATTCCAACTGATTCGAATTTACGCCCTCACCAGAAAGAAAAAGTGAGTGCTGAAAATCATCAATCAAAAAGCACTAATGTATTTAAGAGACAATGTGATGCATGCAAGAAGGAAAGGTGAATAGAGAGTTATGGGTGTGGGATGGAGAGAGGGGATTAAAATGAGTGGAGGTTCATGTGTCGGGTATAAACCTCGGAATGGACTATTTGGGCTAAATGGCTTCTTTTGATGCTGTACAGTTTATGTAATTCTATGTAAATCAGAAGTTGCTGGAAATGGAGACTGTCAGCATCTGACCTTTCATCAGAACTCAGATTTTATTGCAATCCTATAAGGGGCACACTTGAAATATTAAACTGTTTAAGCATTTTCTGTATTTGTTTTGCTTTGTCTCTATATATGCCAACACTTGTGACCGAATAGTCATTTATTAATACAATACAGAATCTGCTAACAAATATACAGACACTAATTTTTCAGATTCTGTTTGAGAAAGTTGCCTCTTCCCTCAAAAACAATCCTATCTCAGTAATGTGTCAGTGTAGAATTTCAAGTACTGTATATTCAATATGTGTATTTAACTTAAAATATAAATTATTTTTATGGTGGAGTTAAGTTCTCTAGATCTAGATGTTTGTACAATTCAAATTACCTGCACAAAACATTTCCAGCAATTTAACTCCACTTAAAGTAATTATGAACAAAGTCTGACTCACCTCTGCCCTTTTTCTCTAGCTGCCTCCCTTTTACTCACATGTTCATTCCTGCCGACTTTCTCATTGGGGTTTATTTATTGTGAACGAACTGGAACTTAAATAACCAGAAATTACAGAATGACGCCAACACTTAGATCGTGGCTTGAGGGGAGTTAAGAAGACAAGTGAGAACTGAGGGATGAAACTAACATGGTTAAATAGTTACAAAGTAAAAGTTAGTATTTCTTTGTATTGCTATTGTCTGGTTCCAGGATATTACCATTTCAGTGAAGCCACTTCTTTTCCATAGAATGTATAACTGGATTTTTTGCATGTGGTCTCACAGTTTGTATCAGCCACTGTAGATTTCCAGCATCTGCAGTATTTTGCGTTTTGTTGAACTCAAATGTAGAAGCAGGCATTTTTCTGGAAATGTTTTATTCCATGGGAGTTTGTAAAAATAATCTAATTTACAGTATGTGTTATCAGATTGGCTGTGGTTGCTTACAAAGTTAAGGCAAAAGTGATGGAGGGCTGCTTTCAATGGAGACCAAACTGTGCATATGTGTGTACACTGTGTGTATATGTGATAGGCAGATGGAAAGTGATGCACAAGAAAATTGATCTAGTACAGATTTACTTCACACGACCATATGGGAGTTTTGGATGAAGAAAAAACCTTCACCCTAGTTTCTCTTATTACAGCATCAACCTGCTTCATAAATGAGTTTCAGTGGCCTTTAACTAAATGGCCTCAATCACCCTTTCTGGTAACCCTTTCCAGTTGTTGTCAATCTCTGTCACTGTTAAGCACTCCGAGGAGCTACCTGCATAAAGGATGCAATATAAAGGCAAAGTATTGTTGTTATTGTTGATTACGCTCTGTACACATCACTGATTGTTTAAAGACCTGTCCAGAAAAGTCTGTAACTCTGGTTAGATTTTTATGTGCTGTAATTATCTTCCACCACAACATCCTTCATGAAAGAACCCTATCCATTATCCTCTGTGACAATAGAAGTGGCTTAGAAACATGTAAGACTGAAAGTTTGCCTTTTTTATGTCTATTTAGGTTGACGTGGGTGGGAAAAGATAACAGAAATGTCTTTTATATCTTAAGTGAAATTAGTGATATCAAGACTTATTGGGGTCCAACAATTGCTTCGAACTAACTTTTCAGAAATCTCAATGCATAATAAGTGTGAAATTAAGTGTTCATGATAGTGAACATCCTTATGTTAAATCCCCATTCCTATTGCTAACTATTTCAAAAACTTTTTTTCAGATCTCATTTTTGGTGTCAGTTTACCTAAGCCGGGAACTCTCTGTTGAAAGCTGTTCTGCCCTTGGACTGGTCACTCATTACCTCTATCTATGTCAGTTCAGCTGGATGCTCATTCAGGTCAGTAGCACAGGAACCTTTCACCAAGAAATGTCAGGTTTTGAGGACATTCTTCAGGTTTCCTCTTGGAACTGAAGTTGTTACTAAAATGTGCCCCAAATAGTGAAAATAAATGTAACAAAAAGTGCGTTATGAAGGACAGTTTGTTATAATAATCCCCACTATAAAATTATTCATTGTACTATTTTTGTAATTGTCTTATGTTTTAAATCAGACTTTTTTCATAGTTTTGCTGCAAATTCTCCTCTGGGAGGTAAGTGGGGGGTCTCATTGAAGCTGATCTGGCTTAGCTAACAGGATGTCTGAATATCCTCTGTGGTAGTTTTGGTAGTCTGATTCCTGGCCCTGTGAGTCCACAGGAAACCAGGGTACTGCTAATGCCAGACCAGCCAGTTTTGCCTCATTGGTAGGACTTGGAGGGGCATGTGGGCAGGGATTCTTCCCACTCAGCTCCTAGATTGACATTAATGATAATCTTTGCATTTAATATATTGCCTTATCATGTCATTGAGACATCTCAAAATGCTTCACATAATATATTGTAAAGTTAATTGACTGTATTTTGTGGGCGAAACGAGGTAGCCCATTGCGCACAGCAGTGTCCACAAACAATCTATGCGGCTTTAGCCGGTTAAACTCCAGCAACACCCCAGCGCGCACCCCAATCCAACCCTTGGCTTTCAGCCAACCTGTGCCAAAAGCTTTTCAGATTTGGTTTGCAGGATCCTCGGGGGAGAGAGTGTTCATTCCACTCCAAGGGAATTTCCAAGTGTAGGGGGCATGGATTTTTGAAACTCTGGTTTAGGAATTCTTATGTATGGTAATGGGTTATTGTATGTGTCAAACATCTGGGTGACCAATAAAATGTTTGCTGGAAACATCAGGTTCAATCCCCAGCTTTTCTTTCTATCAAGCATCTGTTCCATGACCAGGACTGCTTTTTTCCACCTGCGCCACATTGAATGCCTCAGTCTGTATCTCACATTGAATGCAGCCGAAAACCTCGTTCAGGCCTTTGTCACTTCCAGCTGGACTATTCCAATGCCCTCCTCGCTGGTCTCCCCAGCTCCACAATACACAAAATCCAATTAATTCAAAACTGGCTTCCAATTACTGAATGGATTGATTTCAAGATCCTCTCACTTGTTTTCAAATCCCTTGATAACCACCACCTCCCTACCTATCGGACCTGCTTACCCTCCACTCCCCCACCCCCTGCCTCCGCTCAGTCGACATCGGCCTCGCGTTTGTCCTTTACCCCCTTCAAATCCTGCCTAAAGACCATCCTTTTCGATCGTGCTTATGGTCACCTTTTCCCCCCTCCCTCTCCACCTGGCTTGTTGCCAGACTCCGCCACTGACAAGGGCTCTGGGATGCTACTCTTCTTGAACAGCGTTATATAAATGCAAATTGTCGTCGTTGTTATCAAGCACTAAGCTCACAAATCACTTAAAGCTTGTTTTCAATGTTACATAAGTACATGGGGCAAATCCTCTTGAAATACAGTATTTGAATTTTGTCCAGCTCATGGTCTGATACAGCATTTCATTGTGCATTGTGCACTCAATCACTGTGTGTCATCGTGACTGTGAACTCCAAGCTTCTTTTAATAAGGTATCACTGTTAAATAGGCAAAGTATACAATGCAGCAGGAAACACTGGGATGCTTGCGCTTTTCATGGATATGTATTAAAATATTGTATGTAAAAAGAAGAGCAGGATACAAATTTAAAAAATTCAGGGTGTTTTGAATTTCAGTGATTAAGACAGATTTCTTTCCAGTTGTCATATCTCTCAGAGCTCCAGCTGGTGCTGAGCACACTGACGGTTGAGTTTTGGTTAATTACACTGACCTGACACTACAGTGTGAAGTCATAGTTTTGAGAAAAGTTTATGGTGATTTATTGCTACACTCTGAAAAAACTGAGTTCATGAAGGGAAGGATTTTCCCATTGGCATTTAAACCCGCTTTGACCTGGTTAATCCAGAGGATTTGCAAAAAATCATTAGTTTGACCACAGTTAGAGTATTGTCCCCACTTTAGGAAGAATGTCAGGGAAGAGGATGCAGAGCAGATTTACTAGGATGATACCAGGGATAAGTTTACAAATGCAAGGATTATTATTATTATTATTATGAGTAGTTTGACCTATGAGCAAAGACTGGAAGAACTGGGACTATTATATAATATCAATTTTCACTGGATCGGAGAATGTTGAGAGGAGACCTGACGGGGATCCTTAAAATTATGAGGGGTTTCAATATAGTAGGTAGGGAGAAATTATTTCACCGGTCGGTGAGTCAGTGTCTCGAGGGTATCAATTTAAAATATTTACCAAAGGAACAAAAGAGGAGATTAGAAACAATGTTATTTTACACTGTTCGTGTCGGTGCAGAATACACATTAGTTTTCAAGAGACATATGTCTGAAAAGTAACAATTTGAATGGATTGTCTTTAAAAAGAGACATGATAGGCCAAATGGCCTTCTTCTGTGCTATAATATTCTGCAATCCTACAATGAATCAGTTTAACCCCAAATCCTATTGTTTTCTATTTGTAAGATTCAAAATGAAAATTCGGAATTAAAACTAAGAGAACAGAATATATTGATACTACAGCCTATATTTAGTATACCTATGAAATAGTTATGGAAAGATGTTAATCAGTTAATCATTTGTGCACCAGAATGTTGGTTACATTATTGTCACCTTATATAATTTTTAAAAAAAGTCAAATAGAAGAGTCTTGAGTGTTTTTATTGTTCCCGTTGGATAAAATGAATGATTAAGGTATGTGAAAGGCTCTTTAAAAGAGCCAGCACAGACACAATGGGTCGAATGGCTTTCTTCCATGCTATAAATTTCTGTGGTTCTAAGCGAATGTTTTCTTTTTCCTCCAGTCTGTCAATTTCTGGCAAGTGCTCGTGATGAACGATGAACACACAGACCGGCGGTACTTGCTCTTCTTCACGCTGAGTTGGGGTTTACCTGCCTTTGTTATGGTCCTGCTGGTAATTATTCTGCGAGGCGCCTACCACTGGACCATCCATGAGATCTATGGCATTCTACGCGGAGATGTGTAAGTACTTCAAGAAGTGAAAATATTGTCTTTGTATTGATAAAATAGAACACTGTCATGTCTTGATGGAAATTGCGTCCCGTTGTCATGTTGTGGTGCAATCCTATTGTAGGGACACCTGGTCACTTACTCAGTTAATAAAAGCCACTGATTAGAATGAAGTTGAAACATTCAGGCCAGGAAAGTCCCAAGTTTGATACCCAGATCTGATGATCTCAGTTGGGGTGACAGTAACAACTCTGCATTTATCCTGAGCTTCCCTGAGATAGGAAGGGAAAATTTCAGGTGGGATTCCTACTCCTGATCCAAGCTCCTGACAGAAAAATGTGCATGTGTGTATATAGAATCATAGAATCATAGAATCGTACAGCACAAAAAGAAGCCATTCGGCCCATCGACTATTTTGAACCTGTGACCTTGAGTCACCGACTCACCCACCAATGGAAACAGTTTTTCCCTTTCTAACCTATCAAATCCCCTTATGATTTTGAAAACCTCTATTAGGTCTCCTCGTAACCTTCTCTGCTCCAATGAGAATAATCCCAGCCTCTCTAACCTTTCCTCATAATCAGGTCCCTCATTCCTGGTACCCTCCTTGTAAATCTCCTCTGCACCCTTTCCAATGCCTTAACATCCTTCCTATAGTGTGGTGCCCAGAACTGGGTGCAGTATTCTAACTGAGGCCTAACCAGTATTTTATATAGGTTAATCATAACCTCCTGACTCTTGTACTCTATGCCCCTATTTATAAAGCCTAGTATCTCATATGTCCTTTCTACAGCTTTATCTACCTGTCCTGCCACCTTCAAGGATTCATTTACCTGAACCTCCAGATCTCTCTGCCCTTTTACCCCCCTTAAGATTGTATTACCAGCCTATATTGCCTCCCCTCATTCTTTCTACCAAAATGCATTACCTCGCATTTCTCCACATTGAAATTCATCTTCCATGTGTCTGGCCATTTTATCATTCTGTCTATGTCTTCCTGCCGTTGGCTACTATCCTTCTCACAGTTTACCACCCCACCTAACTTTGTGTCGTCCCCAAACTTGGAAATGGTACTTGCTATACCCAAGTCCAGATCATTTATGTATATTAAGAAGAGCAGTGGTCCTAATACTGATCCCTGGGGCACGCCACTGTACACTTCCCTTCAGTCAGAAAAGCAGCCATTCTCCACAACTCTGCTTTCTGTCTCCCAGCCAGTTCTGGATCCATGCTGCCACTGTCCCTTTTATACCATAGGCTTCTATTTTTCTTACAAGTCTTTTATGTGGCATTTTGTCAAATGCCTTTTGAAAGTCCATATAAACTACATTAACTGCATTACCTTTATCCACCCTCTCCGTTACCTCATCGAAAAATTCTATTAGATTTGTTAGACAAGATTTACCTTCAAGAAATCTGTGCTGGCTGTCCCAGTTAATCCATATTCTTCTAAGTGAAGATTTATTCTGTCCCGGATTATAGTCTCCAGGAGTTTCCCACTACTGATGTTAGGCTGACTGGCCTGTAGTTCCCAGGTTTGTTCTTCTGTCCCTTTTTGTACAGGGGAGTAACATTGGCCAATCTCCAGTCCTCTGGCACCACTCCTGTGTCCAACGAAGATTGAAAAATTGTAGCCAAAGCCTCCGCAATTTGTACCCCTGCCTCCCATAGTACCTTTGGCTGCATCCCGTCTGGACCGGGTTACTTATCTACCTTCAGCCCAGTCAACCTTTTCAGTACCGCTCTGTTTATATTATCCTATCCATTTCTTCTACTCTCTCCGATACTGCGGCATTTGGTGCATCTACTTCTTTTATGAAGACTGATGCAAAGTACTCATTCAGTACATCAGCCATGCCCGCTGCCTCTACAGTAAGATTTCCGCCTTGGTCCTTAATTGGCCCCACCCTACCTTTGACTAACCTTTTTCTCTTGATATGTTTGTAAAATATATTAGAATTCCCTTTAATGTTACCCGCTAACCTTTTTCCTATAATCTTTTTGCTTCTCTTATTTCCTTTTTAAGTTCTCTTCTGTACTTCCTATATTCTATTTGGTTGTCTTCTGTATCTTGGGTTTGACATTTGCCATACGCCTCCTTTTTCCGCTTCATTTTAGATACAATTGCCTTTGTCATCCAGGGAGGTTTGGATGCCCTACTTTTCCCTTTTGTGGGAATGTATTTGTTCTGTCCCAAGATATCTCATCCTTGAAGACTTCCCACTGCTCTTTAGTTGTTTTACCTGCCAATCTTTCTTTCCAGTCTACTTTGGCTAGGTCCCTTTTTAACTCACTGAAATTAGCCCTCTTCCAGTTGAGTATCTCTTTGTGATAGTGGGCAGCACAAGCAATCCATCTCCTGGCCATTTCAGGTGATAAATGTCACAAAGATCAGAAGATTAACCATGAAGCGTAACCACCTGGGAAGCTCTGGTCCAAATTGCTGACTATCCAGTGCCTTGGGACGTCCTCCCGACATGAAAGGCGCTATACAAATGTAATATTGTATTGTATTCCCAAACTTACGCCCCATCTCCGTTCCTCTCCAAGGTCCTGTTGCTTTTCAGCTTCGCTCCTTCCTCTCCCGCCACTCCCTTCTCGAAGCCCTCCAATCGGGTTTACGTGCTGCCTGCAGCACAAAAACAGCCCTGGTCAAAGTGACAAATGAAATTCTGTCCATCTGCTCCCTCTACCTCCTTGTTCTCCTTGACCTCTCTGCTGCCTTTGACACTCTATCCTCATCCACCGCCTCTCCTCTCACCTCAACCTTCACAGCTCCGTCCTTGACTGGTTCAGATCGTACCTCTCACACCACCTCCACTTCATCTCCACAAACAGTTTCTCCTCTAGCCTCTGCACCATCTTGTGTGGCGTTCCTCAGGGCTCTGTACTTGGTCCTCTCCTCATCAATATCTATATGCTCCCTTTGGTGACATCATCCGCAGACATGGAGTCAACTTCCACATGTATGTAGATGACACCCAATTCTACCTCTTTGCCTCCACCCTTGACTCCAGAACCTCTGCTGTCCTGACAGAATGTCCGTCGAACATCAAGTCCTGGATAAGAGCTAACTTTCTTCAATTGAACGTCAACAAGACCGAGGCTCTCCTGAATGGCTCCCGTCAGCACCTCCTCACCTTAGTCGCTGACAGCATCACCATCCATGGTTGCACACTCCACCTTACTAAGCCAATCCAGAACCTTGGCATCTTGTTTGACCTTCAACTAACCTTTCTACCCCACACCTGCACTGTGACCCGCTCTGCCTTCCTCCACCCCCGCAACATCGCCCGGCTCCGACACTGTCTCATACCGCAAGCCGCCAAAACCCTCATACATGTTTTCATTACATCGAGGCTTGACTATGCAAATTTATTGCTTGTCAGCCTCCCCAACTCCACCCTCCACAGGTTGCAGATCATCCAGAGCTCTGAGGCCGTGACCTCTCCCGCACTAGACTCTTCGACCCTATCACCCCCATCCTCACCCCATTGGCTTCTCATCACACAGAGGATACAGTTCAAGACACTGGTCCTCACCTTCAAAACTCTCCATGGTCTTGCTCCCCCCCTACCTCTGCGACCTCCTAACTCCCTACCATCCTGCTCGCTCCCTCCACTCAGTGGGCTCTGGCGTGCTTCACCTCTCCCGCTTCGCTCACCCCACTATTGGTGGGTGGGCCTTCTGCCACTCTGCCCCCGCCCTTTGGAACTCTATCCCACAGTCCCTCTACCTCGCTCCGTCCCTTGCCATCTTTAAGTCCCATCTCAAGACCCTTCTCTTCGACCGTGCTTTCGATCTCCCTGCTTCCACCCCTGCCCTTCATCCTCCCCAACCCCGACTCCCAACTTGGGTCCAAAAGTCTGTCTGTCCAGCCCCTTGGGATGTCCTCCCGACGTGAAAGGCTCTATACAAATTTAATTTTGTTGTTGTATGAGTTAGCACCCTCAGGAAAGGAGGGAAGGACATTGAAGGGGAAAAAAATGAGTTTGATGATCTTAAAAGATGATAAGTGTGATAAAATTAAGGAAGAAAGTAAAGCTTTACGTCTTCATATGGGCACCATGTATGAGAGAGAGAAGATCTTGGTTGAGGCAAACAGAAGCTAAGGTGAAGTGAACTCTTCTGCTGAAATTATAGGACTGCTCAGTCATGCCTGTAACTTGCTGTAATTGAGCAAGGTGGGGGATGGGCCTGGTTAGACACTGTGAAAACTGCAGCATCTGGAGTTAGGCCAACTGGTTATTTATACAAGTTGGTACAGTTGTATTCTCTTCCTGCTAAATTATTAGCACTCACAGAACACGTCAGTCAATCTTCAGACCACCAGTTTCCTTCTCTCCCTCCTCTCTCTCCGCTCCGCACACAAACAGCTGCACTTCCTGCCACTGATCTTTCTGGGGAACTTTTACAGATCATTCCTGTGATAGGAAGAAGAACAGTTAAGAACATACTGAGAACATCAGTCTCGTGCCAAGAGACTTGAAAGCATGTGGATAGAATTAGCTGAAAGAGGAAATGGCACAATCAGTACCTCTGTAAGAAACCAAACATTTAGAAAGATTTCCAATCATCTTCTGCATGTTTTATTTATTTTATTGCTGCCCAATTCTGAGGTTTTTTTTGTATATTTTGGTTCAACAGTGTTTATGGCATTATTGATGGAATTGTTTTTAAGCATTACCATGCCTGACACTGAGGGGGCTGAACTACTGTACACACAGTTTAAATGTCAATGTCTTGCAAAAGCATTAGAGGTTAGTGACTGCATTGAACTGAGCCAATTCATTTTTCTCTCTCTTGCTATCAGGCTCCATAACTGTTCTCAGCCAATTCTCCCCAGTAAGACCAATGGCACAACTCACAACTTTAAACAAATAAATACTCAAAGATTAAACTGTAACTAACACAGTAGGGGGGGGGGAAATGTGGCATTTAATGAAACTTGCGTGAGTTTTAAAAGCAGAACTGATGGCAACATTCCCTCTTGTTTGTTTTCGTACAATGAA